GGAGGAGGAGGAGGGGGAGGGGGGTGTATGTCGTCAGAGTCATTACAGGTTTTTTCCGAATCAGACTTTGACAGAAGATCTTCCATTTCAACATCTCCCTCCCCCTTCCTGTCTGGTTCCTGTCCCTTCCCCGGATTATCACCTTCAGGGCTTCTCATCTCATCCCTCCCTCCCTTACTCCCTTTCTTCCTGATCCATTTCCCTTTTTCCTTCCTCCTTTCTTTTTCCTTCCCTTTCCTTCTTTGCTTCTCCTTCCCTTTTCCTTTTTGCAGTTGGCGGGTCTCAAGGACCACTTCCTTCTCCGTGCCCTTATCTACTATCCTCTTCTGCCTCTCCCTTTCCAAGTTATTCTTATCTTTGTCCTTTTCATGTGCCTCTGATCCATCCGATCCTTCCGAACCGTCACCATTTGCTTTTTCCCCATTCCCCTTAGGCCTTTCGACTTCCTTTTGTTGATCTTCTTTTTCTGTCGAACTTCCCGCGGGGTTATCTTTAGGCACAGGGACCTGCTGTTGCCCTACGAAGTACGGGCAGGAGTTGTCAGAGGATTTATGATAATATTCTCGACACTGCTCACACCATGGTGTGTCCGCGCAGACCAAGTCAATGTAAATCGAGTCTTCGTCTGGCAGAGCAATAACGAGTGACTCCTTGAACCGGGTTTTCGCCAAAGGGACCAGGTCAAACCTGATGTCCTTGAGCTCGGGAGAGCCTGGCGTTTTGAATGCCGCATGAACTTTAAGAATCTCCCCAAAGGCATCCTTTAGTGCACATTCTAACAACGACATAACAGTGACTGGGACCTGCAAGCACCTGATCCAGAAGTACGGCAGGCGCATCGCTTCTCTCCAATCGGAGAGTTGTTTCTCCGACATCCAAGGGCAGAAACGCAGAGAGTACTTTTTTTTATCTAATTCGATTTCCACCTGGGCTTTCGTTTTCATCCAGGTGGCTATCTCGGGTGTTGAGGCCACGTACATAACGAGGTTATTTACCTCATTATGGAACAAACCCCTTTTTGGAGGAACATTCAGTGATTTTGTCGACGCCCACCCGTTTTCACAGATGCGCACTAGCTTTTGTTTGACACTAACAGGTAAGGACGTTGTGTCATCCCCAAAAAAAACCGTCACTGCATGTTCCTTCAACCATTGGACCTGGATTTTATAAATATCAGGGTTAATTGTAACTTTCACGAAATCATCTCCGGTTTCCACTTGGTTTGGGGCCAGTTCTTTGGGCAAAATCCCGTCACTTGTTCAAAGTCTCTCTAATCCTGAGAGTGTCTGTCGTCGTGAGCAGAGGTGACGGCGTCGGTGGGGAAGAAGGGTGAGAGGAAGGGAGAGAGGGTGAGGAGGATTGACCTCCCTGACCACTGCCCTGGGCTTCCATCTTTTCTTCTTACCAGGCACTTACACACCTTCACTATCGACCTAACACACCTTAATCTACTATGAGATAAATACTACCATGCACGAGGACAGGGAAGCGTCTATCAATTGGGGCAGTCCAGAAATCCCCAAAACGAGTTACGGTGTGTGATGAGCGATAATACCTTCCTCATGAGAACGCTGTTGCAAAACAGCAGGCAATTTTAGGGGAAATCACCTTTCGTAACTTCCTCCCCTCCTTCTAATTTTTCCCCGCCGTTACGCCTCCACTTGCCAGTTTTTGCAGATTGCTGCAAGGCGCCCGGGTCCTGGAATCGGATTCAGAGGGAGAGGACCGAACTAGCATGGAGATCCTCAACGAACTCCCTAGATTCATTCCGAAAAAAGGCATTCAAGTGTATGAAAATAGCGTTTTCTCCCCCTCGACAGCACCAGCAGGTCGTGAGAGTGGGCCCGAACAAGGAGCAACCCTGCAGCGACCACGGATCAACCTGCAAGCTATCGAATTCGCTGCGGCACCTATTGAGAAATCAGTGTGCTCACCGGCTAAGAAGGGGAAAACTAACGACTCCCAAAGTGTGGCCAGACGAAAAGATTATTTGTTCCACTCCCCAGTTGAGCCTGCGAGGGGTGCCTCTACCTCCAGGAAACGACCACAATCCTCCTCTTTGGCCCAGAGGGCTCTGTCCCTAGCAGCCCCAAAGAAAACGTTGTCAAGGGACAGCTTGGGAAAATTGCCAACCACCCAAATGCTCGTTCCACTCATCCTGACTAACTCACTACAGGGAGTGTGTGTATTAACTAAGCGAACTTCTGCGGATGAGCGTTTAGAGTTGCTTACTCTCCGGGTGTACGGGCAGCCCTCGGAGGCACTAGTTAAAGAGATGACGGGGAAGTTGATACTAAACCACATGGGCTCAGTTGTGCCCTTTGCAGATTTAAAGCCTCATCGCTTTTTTTCCTCCCCATCGTCGGGAGGTAAGGTGTTGTTGCATATCTTTCCACTACGCTTTCTGACAATAGCAGAGTCTTTTGAAAAATTGAGTTATCTGAAGGTCCACTGGACGCCCTGGGAGGACTTTGTCTCCTACAGAGTGGAGGCGGTGGGCGATATCAAACTAGCTCCAGACCTGTCAGGAAGAAAGATAGTCGAATGGCTTAAGCACGCAGACTTAAATGAGAAGATGTCTTCAGTAGAGATGGCGAGCAGGTTACAGGATCAGATCTCCCCTCTCCTCCCGTGCTTAACCCCTCTTATGGAAGAAGGTAGTCGTATCCAACCTGAAAACGACAAAGACCGTGAAAATGGTTTTGCCGAACAGAGTTAAGATAGTGTCATGGAACTTCAGAGGGTTGGGCGACACAGCGGGAAAAGATAAAAAACAGAGGTTAAAAAGCTGGTTGTATTCCAACAATGTCCAAATACTGGGTTTACAAGAAACGAAATTAAACTCAGAAAAAATATTGGACATTGCAGACTGGTGGGTAGGCCCCTAGTTCTGGGCCCCAGCAGAAGGGACTAGAGGAGGAACGACCATTTTAATTAACAAGGACCTAGACTGCCAAATACTAGATTCCTTTTCAGACCCAGAAGGCCGCTGGGTCTGGGTAAAAATCGCGGTGGGGAAAAAAGATTGGGCCTTGATGTCAATCTATGCCCCGGTTGACTATAAAACAAGAACAACTTTTTTCGCAGATCTACCTGCCCACCTTCCAGACACGGAAAACTTGATACTAATGGGGGATTGGAACACTATTTTCACCCCTGGCTTGGACTCTCTATTGCTTGCTCCGGTAAGGGAAGATTCACAAATGCTAACTGCTTTGATTAATTCACAAGCTTTAACCATTGTCTATAGAACAATGAATCTGAACTCCAACGGCTTTACCTGGTATGGTGCTAGACCAACAAAGTCAACAAGCCAACCACGAAAAAGGATGGACTTCTTTCTAGCAAGGGGTGGTCCGTGGGATCGCTGTGTCTGGTCTGACTTTATGTACTCCAAGTTGTCAGACCACTACCCGGTGGTCATGGACGTGATTTCAGAAGAGGTGATTGAAAAACACAGACCCCCTTTTCGCTTGAATGTGAACAACTTACAAGACAAAGGCATCCGAGAATGGGTTGACGATCAAATGAAGGATTGGCCTAAGGCTAAACCCCTTTTTGAGGAGCAAGAGGAAGAATGGTATGAGGTGGGACT